GCATGTGCCGCTGTTGTTTTGCACTCTGTCGCACTCCACGAGCGCACTTGTGCAGGCATTCCATTGTTACAGGCGTATCCCGCGGACACTGATTCCCTGGTGTCACTGGGTACGCAGACCAAGACTAGATCGGAAGAACTGCTCAAGGCGGCTGAAGTGGTGAAGAGACAGGTCAGTATCACGATATGTTGGGTGTGGGGGGTGTGGGGGGTGTGGGCTGGTAATTGTGTGGCTTAACCCCTGCCACAGTTAAACTTACCTGATGACTATATATATATATATATATATATATATATATATATATATATATATATATATATATATATATTAAGTCCCCCCATGTCACAATTGCTTACGTTTCATAACCTTATAGCATGAAACTCCTGTTCGTATTGGCTTTTAGCACATCCGGTCCGGCACGGCCTTCATGCATGCTGTTTTCGCCCGAACCGGCAGGTGGTGGAGCTTTCAGAGAAGCTCGCAGCCAGTAGGGAGCGTCTGCAGCGAATCAACGGGACACTCGACAAGGTCGCTGCTGTGGATCAAGACGTCAGGCTTCAGCTGCAGACGTTGGACGATATCGGTCAGTGCTCAGCTCCGTTAGGTTAAGTTAGGTTAGGTTAGGTTAGGTTAGGTTAGGTTAGGTTAGGTTAGGTGCATTGGGTGCCGTTCTCCTTCGCCAGTTATCTTGTCACGTCGAACTCAGTCCCCGTAGGATGTTGGATGCTACTGGAGTTGAGTGGTGAGTCCTTCGCGATGTTTTGCCTGAATTAGACAGGGGAAAGTGACCATTGTTGAGACACTCACGGTGTACCGTATCTGAGTCAGCCATTCAGTCAGAGCAGTTAGTCACTGTCGCTGTCCCGCGCCCGCATCAGTCCCATGAGCAGGATGCCGATTTGGCAGTGGATGCTGTCCCATGGCCGTGAAAGGTCGTACTTTGGATGATTACCAAACGCGCTCAGATACGCAAGGTACCAGCTGCGTCGCGCCAGAGAGTTGGCAACGATATCACGGGTCATTTAGTTAAGACTTTAGTTAGTTAGTGATCTTTGGTATACCATGTGGGATGTGTTTGTGTCGCTTACTGAATCTGATTCCGTGACTTTGGGGCATGATGGGCAAAATAGAGCTAACCTGGACTTTCGTGACATGACCTCAGATAGCTTATCCGACCATTTGAGGTGTCCTGGAGGCGTCTTGGTGTCTCTGCCGGGATGTCTTGACAGACCTAGCCGGCAGATATGACGCAGGCGGCTCATATTAGGTCTGACCTGACCTGACTTAGGCCTGACCCACAGGTGTAACGGGATTGGCTCGTAGTAGGCCTGACCTGACCTGAGCTCACCAGACCCACGGGTGTGACGGAGACGGCTCGTAGTGGGTCTAACCTGACCTGATCTGACCTGACCTGACCTGTCCTGATCTGGCCTGAACCTCAGGTGTGACGAAGGCGGGTTGTGGTGGGTCTAATCTGACCTGATCTGACCAGACCCTCAGGTGTGACGGAGGCGGCTCGTGGTGGGTCTGATCTGACCTGACCCGGCCTGGCCTGACCCTCAGGTGTGACTGAGGCGGCTCGTAGTGGGTCTGACCTGACCTGACCTGACCTGACCCGGCCTGATCCGGCCTGAACCTCAGATGTGACGAAGGCGGGTTGTGGTGGGTCTAACCTGACCCGATCTGGCCTGACCCTCAGGTGTGATTGAGGCGGCTCGTAGTGGGTCTGACCTGACCTGACCTGGCCTGACCCTCAGGTGTGACGGAGGCGACTCGTGGTGGGTTTAACCTGACCCGATCTGACCTGACCCTCAGGTGTGACGGAGGCGACCCGTAGTGGGTCTAACCTGACCTGACCTGACCTGAGCTCACCGGACCCACAGGTGTGATGGAGGCGGCTCGTAGTCGGTCTGACCTGACCTGACCTGGCCTGATCTTCAGGTGTGACGGAGGCGGCTCGTAGTCGGTCTGACCTGACCTGACCTGGCCTGACCCTCAGGTGTGACGGAGGCGACTCGTAGTGGGTTTAACCTTACCCGATCTGACCTGACCCTCAGGTGTGACGGAGACGGCTCGTGGTGGGTCTAACCTAACCTGACCTGACCTGACCTGACCGGACCTGACCCTGACCTGACCTGGCCTGACCCTCAGGTGTGACGGAGGCGGCTCGCGGGGCCGCCAACCGCTCGCAGGCGGCTCTGGCCGCGTCCGAGCTCGTGCTGAGCCGCGTAGAGGCCGTGCAGGCGGCCCTGGAGACGGAGCTGCGGCCCGGTCTGCGCCGGCTGCAGCAGGCCGGCGCCGACGGCATCGGCAACGCCTCCCGCACCGGTGAGGCCCGCCCGCCGGCCGCGGAGGGGCAGCAGGTCTCCCGCCACTTAATGGGACCCTCCACCGCCAGCGGTTTTGTAGCCTCCCACAGACCGCACGGCATGGGGTGCTACCTCGCTTGTCAGCCGCTGGGTCTGGACCTTACCTTAGAAACCACGATGTGTTGGTGGAGTCGGCGGACCGAATGTGCATGACTATGTGGTGCGGCAGGCGGGCTCGCGTTAAGTTTTTATCAGCTTTGTCTGCTCAGTAAGGAAGTTTGAAGCCATCATTAAGCCAAGCTCACGGTGGGTCAGACCAGGAGCGGCGTCACGGGTTTCGGGTTTTGGGCCGGACTTTCCAAGGGTTTCCCGGGAAAGGGCAAAGGCATCCTGACCTAGAAATTGGGCCCTTCTGAATACAGTGAGCTCCTCCTAACCCAGACCACCGCCTTCTAGTTCGTGATGGTGTCTTCCGAGTAAGCAAAGGGACGCTCTCAGTGTAACATTGAGGCTACTCGTCCGGAGCATGGGCTACCTTATGAGAAAAGGTGGCGTCATGGTGCGGAAAACGAGCCTCTTGCTGTAGAAAATGGTCTCTTGAGCCTGATTTATGACTCTCTAGGTCAGTTATGGGGTCTACATGATCTGAACTTTGGTAACGTACGGGTAGCTAAAATGCCTTTACTCTGGGAAAAGGGACTTCCCAAAAATTCTGAATGGCAAGAACATACTCTTGATCCCCCGCTTGCCAACAATGGAGGCAACACTGTCTCCTCTGCCCCCCCCCCCCCCCCCCCCCCCCCCCCCCACTCCACCCTGCTGCGCCGCGTCTGGGTCAGACAGCTGATAAAGTGTTGCACATGCCGAGTGCATTGCATGCTTTGCATGAAAGAGAACCGATCACCCGCTCTATACCGCAACGATCTCAGCTTGCTAGTATTGCCCTGGTTTCTGATGTCCTGATTGCGTTGCCTAGTTGCCTGGCGCAGGCTATCCGCCACAAACCTTCAATATCAACTGGCGTGTTGTTGAGTAGCTCGAGCTAGGACATGGACGTTTCGGACTCGGATATTGCGGGAGAATAAACCAGGCCGAGTTGTGAGTGGGCACCCGACACCGACCGCTTCATAACATGGCGCTTTCCAGTGGATGAGGCGCGGAAGAGCCTGACGAAGGCCGACCTCCGCGCCCTGGACGTGGAGATGAAGGCGGCAGACGTTGAGGCCCTCAGCGACGGCGTCGGCCTCAAGCTGCAGAACCTCAAAAACAAGATCCTGAAGGCCCGCCAAGCGGCATCGAACGTAAGCGATGAGGGCGGAGGTGCCAGTCAGGGCAGCTATGCGCCAAAGTCGCGCGGCTTTTTACTTATTCACATTCGCGGCCATCAGTCATCCGGCATACTACAAACTTCGCTGTCTGCTGCAACCCACCAACCTCTACTAAAAAAGAGAAAAAAGAGTGGAATGTAGTGAGGCACAGCATCCCCCTGTCATGGTCTCCCACTACGTTATTAGATGGCCATCACTCGGCGCTGCGTTCAGATCGCAGTGTTCACCGCTGGCCCTTGCCCAGATCCGCGTCTCGCTGACGGGGGAGGCGGCCAGCGGCGCGTGCACGCGCACATACCGGGCGGCCGAGCTGCAGCCCAGCACCACGTCGTCCGTACGGCTCAACTACTGCCGTCTCCGACGAGGCCGCGCGCGACGCGCTCCTCTTCTACCTGGCCGCCGACAGACAGGTGCGCCGCGGCGTCACGCCCTCCCGTCGGACAGCGCCCCACGGTCGGCGCGATACCAGCTGACGTGGCGTGCTACACGTGGTTACTGCGTCGCCTCGTTGTATCTTGTGCCTTCTTGTGATGACGTACTGAACGGTGCGTGGAAGAGGTGGTCTTCTTTGCCCCGGGGGCTATGTGACTCGATTACATGCGTGCTCACAATTCCGCACTGCGGGGTCCTGTCGCGTTAGGTCACATCGTTCTCAGCCACCTTTTCATGAGTAATGGACTCTCCGGTACCATTGGTAGTAATGCAGGTGGCAACAAGAAAAAAGATCTCACTTTGTCATGCCGGTGTGGCAGTTGGTTACATTAACAGTAACGCTGAATAATGGGGAAGACCCGAACTCGGGCGTCAGTGTTGTACAATGTCATTAACTAGCGTATTCTGCGTAAAGAAAATGGGCATATTTAGTGACAGAAGGAGAAATGGAAATAGTCGGAGGTGCTGTGACGATAATGCTGGGATGTGTAACCTTTGATACGATAAAGTATGCTATGTAGATTAGTTTTCCCACAACGCCACATAAATCATGCATGTAATGGAGATATGACGATAATCCAATGAGTTCATGATGTTGACGTTTTCCTTACATGATCAATTGCTTTGCACTGTGCATGTCATGCATTCGTGTCCTGGTGCACATTTTCAGAAAGATTTCATGGCTATCGAAATGGTGAACCGGACGATCCGTTTTCTTTGGAACAACGGGGGCCAGACGCAGATGGTAGACCATCCCCAGAGGCTGGACACCAACGATGAGCAGCTGCTCTCCGACAGCAGCTGGTACATCATCAACGCCGAGAGGTCAGACAAGGGACCAGATATCGGGGGGGACGGGGGGGGGGGGGGTACCGGAGGGGCAGATCAGGTCAGGTGCCAGAGGGATCAGGTGCCAGAAGGCCAGGCACGGGGTTAGACACGGCATGGGAAGTCACAAACCGTGGGGTCGGATGCAGGTCGAATGCCAGGAGGACAGATATGAGGCCGCACGCCGGGTCAGATGCGTCGTCATAAATCAAGAGGTCAGGCACCGAGGACTCACGCAGGCTCACACGTCAGGAGGTCAGACTTTTCGCGGGGTCAGATCCGGGTTTTTCATCTAAAAAAAAAACAAACAAGAGGCTTTCCCTACCTCGGAGCCGTGGCACCGGCCGTATTTCTGTTTTCAGAATTGGCAACCTGGGCCGCCTGTCGGTGAGGCCTGTGTACCGGTCCGATGTGGGCCGGAAGGTGCCTGACACGGTGACGGCGGTCTCGACGGCCGGCTTCTCGGTCATGGACCTGACCTCCGATGACCCGGTCTACATCGGCGGCCTCCCCGACGGCGCCTCGAGGAGCGTCACCACCAAAAGGTCAGCCGCCCCGAGACAGGTGGAGTGACCTCCATTCAGGATTTGTTGTTTGTATCGGTGTTGGCTCAATTTGATAGTTCAGATATTTCAGTACCGGATTAAAAGTGTCGCTCCAAAACCCGCGCCGTCGTACGGCGGCACGTACGGCGGCACGTACCGTCGTACGGAGGCGTGTCGTACCTGACGGCGGAAATAATGCAAGGACCAGTCTGTACATAGTCTGTTAATGCCGTGTGTCGTCCCTGCATTCAGAGTATGAGAGACGTCCCTACTGCAGCGGGTTACTGTTCTGAGCCGACCGCGCACCTGTGCGGATGGGGTCCTCCTCTCCTGACGGCCCTCCCCTTCTGTCTGGCAGGTTCGCTGGCTGTCTGGACCGGGCAGTCTTGAACGGCCAGCCGATCGGCCTCTGGAACTTCCGCTCCAGCGATGGCTGTGGCGCCTGCAGGGTTGGACCCAGGTTAGCGGCAGTCGCGTTCATACCCCAGCGGTGCCACACGGCCTCGCGAAGGCTCCGCGAGCCCGTGCAGTCGATGTCCAGTCACGTTTGGTAGTAGCTTAAATAGCTGCTGCAGCGATATTCGTGTGTCGTTGGAGCCTTACGACGTTACGTGACGTCCATTGTTCACCTTACCTAACCATAATTGCGGACTGGTAACCTTTTTCCCGTGCTTTGCTCGTCGATGGTTCTTTACAGTATCATTTTCTGAGCAGCGGTTGCTCACCTGCTCGTCTACGTGCTGCAGGCATTCCCACCTGCGGCTTTCTGATTTATTTAAGCGGCCCGCCAAATGCAGGCCAGGTCAAACATAGGCCTATTTTAAGCATGTGCCTCCCTGCGTGTCAAGCACTGTTTGTATGAACAGAACTGAGCCATCTAAAAACGGAGCAAATTGCAACATTTGGGCACGTGGCTAACGTACCCGAAATCTCGTTCGAGAACTTCAAAAATATCGTTACCGAACAGAGCGATGATAGATCGGACAATGCGTCATGACGGTACTCGCTGCATGCTGGGCGCGGCCGGCCGCTGTCGCTCTCTCTCTCTCTCTCTCTCTCTCCTCTCTCTCTCTCTCTCTCTCTCTCTCTCTCTCTCTCTCTCTCTCTCTCTCTCTCTCTCTCTCTCTCTCTCTCTCTCTCTCTCTCTCTCTCTCTCTCTCTCTCTCTCTCTCTCTCTCTCTCTCTCTCTCTCTCTCTCTCTCTCTCTCTCTCTCTCTCTCTCTCTCTCTCTCTCTCTCTCTCTCTCTCTCTCTCTCTCTCTCTCTCTCTCTCTCTCTCTCTCTCGCTCTTCCTGACGGCGCTCTTCGACGTCGCCAGTGACGACAAGCTGGTGACGTCGCCGGGATACAGCTTCGACGGCGCTGGCTACGCCGAGCTGCCGCCGCTGCGGCCCGGCCAGGTGGCCGTGCGCGGCATGTACTCGGTCGTCATGAACGTGCGCACGTTCGACTCGGACGCGCTGCTCTTCCTCGCCGTCAACGCGGAGAAGGTGCGTCGGCGTCGGGTGGGGTCATGTGAGGTCCGGTATAGCGGTTGTCAGGTGCTTGCAGAGCGTGCTAAGACGGTGGCGATGACGTTTGGAAAATCTGCACGGGCTGTTGAAGTGGTTTTCAGGTATTTGCTCGTGATAACAGCGCTTCGGATGCATTTCGGAATGGACTGAGTGGGCCAAGAAGACGCCGTTATGGTGCACACTGCTCTTGGAGCGTACTGGCTTCAGTGTGGCGAAACGTCGTTTGCATCTGTTCTTGTTTTCTATCCTAAATCCGTCCCACATAACGATTAGACACGATGTGGATCCGATCAACGTGATCAATGCAGATCAATGTGGGTGGATTCACATGAAGAAGATAATGAGATAGGTTTGCGCGATTTATTCTGGTGCAACAAATGGCTGGTTCTCAACGTAGTAATCAGTACCTGAGGCATACTATCGTTGCGCTTATGCCTATTATTACCTACAGGATCAATTCTTTAGTCTTGAGATGCGAAACGGCAACCTGGTGTCGCGAGTGGGCTTCAGCAAAGAAGACGTCCTCGTAGTGTCAACTAATGGCAAATACAACACGGGCAACTGGACCATGGTTGAGGCAACAAAGGTTGGAAATCGAGGTAAGTCATTCAACGGCGTAGTGTGACGCTCGCTTTCGTTATCATTCATCTTCCATTCAACAGTTTTTTAGTCCCTCTGTGTGCTTATAACATCGCGCAGTCGGCCTGCCTTATCGTGGGGAGTTTCTACGTCAGTGAGTCGACGAGTACACGTGCGTCAAAGAACAGGAGTGCCCCATGAAGCAGATGCCGGCCAGCCCGCGCGACCGTGCGGCAGCCACACCCACGCCCCACACATCGCACGTCCGTCACAGATGGTAACCCTTTCGGCCCATATAAACGCCGCTGCCTGCGCGTTCGTCCCTTCCAGTGATCCTCAAGGCCAACCACGACGAGGACAAGGAGAGCGCGTTCCACCCGGAGAGCAGCAGCGACGCGCCGCCGCGCTCCTTCAACCTGGCGCTGGACACGGCCAAGCTGTACTTCGGCGGCGTGCCGCCAGACTTCCGTCAGAGTCGCTGGCCGCAGCACACGTTCGTGCCGCTGCTGGGCTGCATGGACGACCTGCAGGTCGGCTTCACACCGCAGAACCTCCGGGTCGGCAACTCCACCGGGGTCACGCCCGGCTGCGGAGGTCAGGTCAGTGAGGTCACGCCAGGTTACCGGTCCCAGGTCAGGGCAGATGGCGCTACAGGGCGTCTGTGCGGCGTCCTAGGGTGCGGCGGCCGGCAGGTAGCATTGGGAAATAGCCCGTGGTTGACTTGGCTGATGCGGATTGGTCGCCTGCGTTGGACGCTACTATAAAACACGTAACTATTGGAGTTATTTCTCGCTGATGCGTTGTGTTCCATTGCGGAGGGGCTGGGGTTTGAACTTCGCCCGTCGTTAGGTTTTAACGGGCTTTCCGAGCACGGAATGTTCCAGCAGTCAAACCCAACAGGAGGCGATGTCCCAAATCATAACCTCATATGTATAGTCGGATATCATTAGTCTCCAAAGGCCGCCTAAGCGTGTAAACACCACGAATCTCTGTCCCTCAGCTCCTGAAGACTGTGGGGTTCCACGGCGATGGCTACCTGGAGACGAACTCTTACCGGCTGAGGAAGATGTCCAGCTTTGCTTTCTCGTTCAAAACCACCGCGTCAGACGGCCTGCTTCTCATGTCCACGTTCGCTGACAAGGTCGGTATTAACGCGAGGGTGCGCACCAGAATGGGCTTTGTTACGTCTCGATTAATCCGAGGTTGTACATGTGCAGAGTCTGTCGCGGCATATGTTGAATCGTTGTTTAGTTAGATGTAAGGCTTCGCGATTAATCAAATGTGAGTGGTTTAAGGCCTGCTGGCCCACTTCAAACCGGAGATCTAGTGTTGCACAGCTATCAATGCCTGAGACTTAGCACTTTCGTGCGAAAGCCTTTCGAAAGGTGCTTTACAGATGGAACAGGACCGAGGACGGCTTGAAAAGTCTGGTGTTGAAGGTTCGACCAATAGTATACGTGTCTCTGGCTGTTAGCTCCCCTTGTAGGTGCCAGAGATAGTGCCCACGCCTGTCCGTCCCCCGTCCCTGGCGGGATGTGGGTCCCTGATCGCTGCATATCCCTGACCGTGTGGCCCTGACTGGTGCACCCGGTCAGCCACTTATCCCTGATATACCTGTGTCATTGGCTGCACATCCCTGGATGATTGATCTTTCACAGGCGATCTGATCGGGTCCTCTAATAACCTGTGTCCCTCGCTTGGCCTCACAGACCGACCTCTCCCTCGCTTTGTCTCTCAGACCGGACTCGTGCCCGCTCCTGACCCGTGTCCCTCGCTCAGTCCCCCAGACCGGCCTCGTGTCCCCTCCTGACCCGTGTCTCTCGCTCAGTCCCCCAGACCGGCCTCGTGTCCCCTCCTGACCCGTGTCCCTCGCTTAGTCCCCTAAACCGCCCTCGTGTCCCCTCTTGACCCGTGTCCATCGTTCAGTCCCCCAGACCGGCCTCGTGTCCCCTCTTGACACGTCTCTCTCGTTTAGTCTTCCAGACTGACCCCGTGTCCCCTCCTGACCCGTATCCCCTTCTGGATGTCGGTTAGTTGTGTCCCTCGCTGGGTTCGGTGACCGGCGACCGGTGTCCGTCTTCCGGCAGGCGATGGCTGACTCGGCCATGCTCCGGGAGTACTACGCGCTCAGTCTGAACGCCAGCCGGCTCACGCTGCGCATCAACGGTGGCAGCGGCGAGCTCGTCCTCACCGCCGCCGACCTCTTCAGCGACGGCCGCTTCCACACGGTGCACGTGCTGAAGGAGAGGCGCAGGTACGGCCCGGCTCGACACCGTCGGCATAGAGGCCGGGACGGCGAGGGCTACGGAGAGGTTGGGTTCTGGGTCGATGTGGAGGAAATACGAAGTGTAGTGTTCGTCATATAGCCCGAAAAAGGAACCTTATGGTGTCTTGATTGATCTCGTAGACGATCATGATGCTAGTTACGTCATGCTCCAGTATAGATCGCGATTTATGCGAGAAGATGCTCGTAAGTTGCTGCGAAATTGTCCCACGCCGTTGACCGCACCAGCCGTCGTTAAAGGCCGGACAACCGCCGACGTTGTTGTGGTAGCCTCCCCAGCGGGGTGCACACCCGAACCGATCGCCGTCGAGGAGCCGCCTTCAGTGCAGGACGGGCCGTTTGCCGCAGGGTGGAGCTGCGCGTGGCGGACGCTGTGGCGGCGTCCGGCCAGCTGCCCCGCGGCTCCTCCGGCGTGCAGGCGCCGAACGCGGGCGGCCTGTACTTCGGCGGCCTGCCGCCAGGGCTCCGGGTGCCCTTCGAGGGCGTCCCGCCACCGTTCTCGGGCTGCATCACGGACGTGATATTCGAGGAAGAGTGAGTGCCCATGCAGTGCACAGGGATGCGATCGGATGTCAGGGTCGTGAGGCTTTGGAGACCGTTAGCCTTATTTGCGATTTTTGACGAGACCTATCTGTGCCATGGAGAGCGATGGACGACGTTATTTGACCGGTAATGACTCTAGTCTCGTTTTGCGAGTCCTAGTCTCGTGCGAGACTAGTCTCGTTCTGCGAGTGTGTTGACACCCCGGACTCGGCCGGCAGCCTGGTGTTGTTTGACCCGCCGCTGCGACACCAACACGTGGCCATTGGTCGCTGCAACGGGGACCTGCAGAAGGGTCGCATGCTTCACGAGATGGCCACGGAGCCTGACCCGACCAGCTGTAACCAGCCGTCCCAGCTCACCCTGGAGGCCAGGTGAGCTCACCTGGCCCATGGCGCTTATCTGAGCTCAACTGACGCACCACAGCTGCGCTCACCTGAGCTCAACTGACGCACCACAGCGGCGCTCACCTGAGCTCAACTGACGCACCACAGCGGCGCTCACTTGAGCTCAACTGACACACCACAACAGCGCTCACCTGAGTTCAACTGACACACCACAACAGCGCTCACCTGAGTTCAACTGACGCACCACAACAGCGCTCACCTGAGCTCAACCGACGCACCACAACACCTCTCACCTGAGCTCAACTGACGCACCACAACAGCGCTCACCTGCGCTCAACTGACGCACTACAACAGCGCTCACCCGCGCTCAACTGACGCACCATAACAGCGCTCACCTGCGTCAACTGACGCACCACAACAGCGCTCGCCGCGCTCAACTGACGCACCACAACAGCGCTCACCTGAGTTCAACTGACACACCACAACAGCGCTCACCTGAGTTCAACTGACGCACCACAACAGCGCTCACCTGAGCTCAACTGACGCACCACAGCAGCGCTCACCTGAGCTCACCCGACGGACCGCGGCGACGCACGTCAGCGACTTTGTCTGGGGTCAATTTTTCCTTTCGTTGCGGCTTGCTTTTCAGATTACTTTTTGTTTGCATTGCTGCCATCTGTGTTGTATGAAGGGATGGAATGTGATGCCTGCTGACAGCGTCAAACCTCTCGTCACGTCATTTATGGCGTAAATCTTTCAAGTTTTGAATTGATACCATCCAGTTACGACCCTTAGCGTAACGAACCGTGGGTTTGTACTCAAGAAGTCCTTCCAAAATTGACAAATGGCGACATAGACTAGAATGATAAGTACTGCACATGATCCGGGCGCAGGTCGTAGTTACACAGGAAATGACGTCATGTTGAGGCGTCACTTTCGCATCGAGCTCTCCACAGCTGCCAGCGGTCGCGGAAGCTATGGAGAGCTGACTCGGCTGCCTCCACGCCGAACCGAGCTCCGTCGTGCTGTTGTCGTGCCTTGTGGTTGGGACGAGGTGTTGAAGTCGAACCACAGCGATAACTTGTCGTCAGGCTCAAACTGTGTTACATTTACAGTCGGGGTGTTGTATGACAAGAATCGTGGCTCGCTGTCCGAGTTCAAGCGGAGGTTTTTCAAACATCACTGCATGACCCGCCGTGAGGATTGAGCTCGATGCGTTCAAACAGAAATTTAATGCTTCCAAAAAACAATGTGACAAAGGGAAGGGCGTCGGTAGTGATTTCTGGACTGTCTATTCTTTGCCTAAGGTCTGTTGGACTTTGGTCTTGTTCAAAAGCGTGGGTCCTTTTAACTTCTTATGCCTTGCTCTGTTTGTTACATCTAAGTTAAAACATAGGACAGACGTCGTGATATTCTGACCTCCCATTGACCTCGGTACCATTTATATAATAGAATTCGTCTTCAAGGAAATGTCGATATTTTTCAGAGCGGTCAAGTTTGGTGACAACCCCTTCAGCCACGTGTACGTTCCAATCAAGAAGCGCGACCTACGATCCGACTTCAATATAACACTCGATTTTAGGACATTTTACCCCAATGGACTTTTACTTTATAATGAGGTAAGTTATCTCCGCAGATGTCGGAACGCCCATGCATATTTCATTTTCGATACAGCACCGCTGTATTTCGTTCAAACCGTTTGACATCTGCATTGTCTCTAAGTTTCTGAAATCCTATCATCATTGCGTGCTCTGGACATTTCTGAGGTAGTCAGTGGCCACTTTCCTACATTGTGATACTCCTGCTCCAAGTAAATATCCACGATGCGCAACTCCGCCATGAGTTTGGTGACGAGGAGAGACGGGCAGGACCGGTCCCCAGCGCGAGGGTCTGTCGCGGCGCGCAGACCACGGGTCGGTCGCGGTCCTGACCCCGCGGTGGGGTGATGACCGGTCTCGTCGCCCGGCAGGGGCGCGGCTCGGCCCGGCGGCCGAACGCGTCCGTCTCGACACTGACGCTGAGCCTGCGAGACGGCGCTGTCGTGCTGAACGTGCAGAAGGGCAGGAGAGGCATGGAGTTCAGCACCAAGGGACAGCTCAACGACGGAGACTGGAAAATGGTGAGTGCTGTGCGAGAGAGCCCCGCCGGCTGCTTGTTCGGGTGCCTGATGTCTCCCAGACGTCTGGAGAAATGCAACGTGCCTAAACACTAGTGAGGAGGAGGGGGGAGGCGTAATGTGCGACTTGTCATCCTGGCATGACAGTGATCGGAATGGTCATCGTAGTTATGAGTACATATCTACGCGTCGTACATCTACACCATACATCTATATCTATAGCTGTACATCGTACATCCATAGTTGTAAATTGTGGAGAGTTCATAGGTGCCGGCCATCACGCGCCAGGTCAGCAAGGCATTGGGCCTCTGCCTGGGTGCCGTCACGCCGTGTGTTGCCTTGCTGGTCCCCCGCGTCCGCGGCTGGGGCGCTCTGAGTGGCCCACCAGTCTCCCCCGACGTTCTGAGCGGCCCCACCAGCTCCCTCTCCTCCGGCGTTCTGAGCGACTCACAAGCGCCCCCCCCCCCCGGCGTCCTGAGCGGCTCACCAAGCGCCCCCCCCCGGCGTTCTGAGCGGCTCACAAGCACCCCCCCCCCCCCGGCGTTCTGAGCGACTCACCAGCGCCCCCCTCCCCCCGGGTCCTGAGCGGCTCACCAGCGCCCCCCCCCCCCCGGCGTTCTGAGCGGCTCACAAGCCCCCCCCGGCGTTACTGAGCGATCTCACCAGCCCCCCTCCCCGACGTTCTGAGCGGCTCACCAGCACCCCCCCCCCCCCGGCGTTCTGGGCGGCTCACCAGCGCCACCCGACGTTCTGAAGCCGCCCACTAGCGCCCCCTCCCCACCCACGTCCATTCTGAGCGGCTCACGAGCGCCGCCACTCGGCAGGTGACGCTGGAGAAGCGCCGGCGCCGGTACACGCTGCGGGTGAGCGGCGTGCCGGTGGCCAAGAAACGCGGCCCGCAAACGCTGCGGCCCGGCAGCGCCCTCTACATCGGCGGCCTGCCGCAAGAGGGCGTCGACACGCTCAGCGTCCGCCGCCTGCCCGGCCAAAAGAAGCTCGAACTGCTGGTGATTATGCAAGCGATGGGGGACTGCGTGGCATAGTGGCTTAACACTTCATTATTTGTGGCATGGTTCACATAACTGACCGAGTGTTTCCTTCTTTTTTGGTGGTAGCCAGTTCACAAGTGAATACTAGATGAACCAGTGCTAGGGCCAAGTTGACACAGAGCTCCACGTCCCCAGCAAACGGAGGGCTTCAAAGGCTGCATGAAGCAGCTGGAGGTGCGCGGCCGGGTCATTGACCTGCCATCGCGGAGGAACATCATTCACAGGGTGGGCCAGTGCATGGCCCGGGTGGAACTGGGCACCTTCTTCGCCGGGGACGCCTTCGCTACGTATGGTAAGCGTCTACCGATCATGCTCATGATCATGATCTATCTCATTTACGCTGGTGAAGGTAACCAGTGCTTTGAAGTGTCCAGCACCCAATACTTTTGCAGTACTTTTAATCGCAGTTTCATGCAGCTTTCAATGGAATACACTTCTTTGAAGCTGCGACGGATAGTACTTATGGTGTCATATGGGGTCATATGGGGTCATCATTGGCTCAGGTTTTGGTACCGTCCACAGGATGATAACCAATAAGTATTCCGCCAGTCATGGTATAAGGCTCGTCGCAATCCACTCAGGGCGCGCTACCGATTTAGGCTCGGTGTAAGTTACTACACCTCGGCTTCGCGGCGCGCACATGATCACGTGCACGTTTAAGGACGAAAACGGGGACCCAGTTGATCTTGTGCACTAAGTGACTGGGTTACTCCTGGTGGTGCTCGCCAGCGCAATCGCTCAAAAGCGGATCCATGCCCAAGCAACTGGCCTGACGCGGGCCCCTCTGACCGCGATCTGCACCCCTCTGATGGCGATCGGTACCATTTGATGGCGATCTGGACCCCTCTGACGCCGTCCGCTTGACATGCAGCGGGCCCCTCTGACGGCGATCTGGACCCATCTGACCGCGATCTGGACCCATCTGACGCCGTCCGCCTGACGTGCGGCGGGCCATTCTGACGGCGATCTGGACCCACCTGACCGAGATCTGGACCCATCTGCCGCCGTCCGCCTGACATGCGGCGGGCCCCTCTGACCGCGATCTGACGCCGTCCGTCTGACATGCGGTGGGCCCCTCTGACCACCATCTGGACCCCTCTGACGCCGTCCGTCTGACGTGCGGCGGGCCCCTCTGACCACCATCCGGACCGCCGGCAGATGACAGTTTCCAGCTGGGGAGTATTGTGGAGTTGGCGGTGGACTTTCGGACGACGGAGCTGAGTGGAGTGCTCATAAGCGTGGCAGGACCGCCCGGCGGGCCGGCGCTCTTCCCTCGAGATCACCGACGGCCAGGTGCGTGCCACCGCATGTTTCACAGCACGGACACGGACCGCGCGCACCTCATCGGCAGACAGTGGTGTGCAGTACTTCCGTGAATTCACTTCCGTTCTTGTTTTGATAAAAGCACGTCACTGACATGTCAACCCAACTATATCTCCATTCTTCTGGTTTTTCTCCCAAGGAATAAGGCTATTACTACTGTTTTATCTATGTTTGCTGAATACCATTTCATGAAGCTTGCCGCAATTTAGATAAAACATACAGAACTCGTTTACATTTTGCTAAGCGAGTTAAGTTAGACAATCAAAGACATTTAAGCAACCATATTAGGTGGATGTGCTCCAGAGTTTCTGACCCGTTAGAGTACGTCGTGTCTGACAAATCTCGCCGCGTGTCTTTCATTTCAGGTGGTCTTCTCAGTTCACAACGGCGGCTCCGAGCCAATACGAGCTCGGCAAAAGTTCCCCACCAAGTTCACCGTGTGCGATAACCGCTGGCACAGCGTCAAAGCCAACTATGTCAGGTACCAGGTACGTCCGCTGCGCACTTGGCACCGTCTCCCTTCAAATATCCGTCAAAACCAACATGGACCGCCAAAAATGAAAGACTGCGCGAAGGTCAGTTTGCTGGCGGCTGGTGCGCAGACCGCCAGCGTGAGATCTTTACACCAGTGACCCATGCCTCTGCACCGACAGGCGACTTTAAAGGTGGACAGGTATCCGGAGAGGTACGGCTTCTCGGCCAACGGACCCAGCCAGACGCCGAGCGGAGGCTTCCCACTATACATCGGCGGCCTGCCCGGTACGTCATCCGCTCACCTGCTCACGAGGCTGGTCATGATTATGATTATGATTATGATTATGATGATGATTATATGCCCCGGGTGTGCAGCGCCGGTGCAGTGCGGTGCTCCAGCGCCCCAGTTCTGACGTTCGCACTGTTTTCTCTCCGTTAGAGCGGGCCAGCAACTCGATCCTGCTGCAGCCGGACAACTTCAAAGGCTGCATCCGCAACATCGAGATAAACGGCGTACGCCGGGACTGGACCGACATGGCGCAGCTGACCAACGTGCTGCTCAACTCGTGCCCCGTCGAAGTGTGAGGACCCGGAGGTCGGACCGCGCCGGACGGTGAGGACCAGGTTCCGGGCCGCGGCGAGCGGTGAGGACCAGGTTCCGAGCCGCGGCGAGCGGTGAGGACCGGGGCCCGGACCGCGCCGGGCGGTGAGGACCGGGGTCCGGGCCGCGCCGGACGGTGAGGATCAGGTTCCGGGCCGCGGCGAGCGGTGAGGACCGGGGCCCGAACCGCGCCGGACGGCAAGGCCGCGGCGCACGTGACGGCCGAAGCCCGGCCGGATGCGGAGGCCCAGAACGGCGTGAGGTAGAAACGTGCAGCTGGTAAGCTGCGCGAGTGAGCGACGAGTGCGCAGACCGCTTCCAAGTCACACCGGGGATGCAGCAAACGCCCGGGTGAACTGTGGGCGACTGCACGGGTCCAGCACGCACGTCGGCTGGTGCCGTACCATGACCGGCGCAGCAGGCGAGGTATGCGGGCACGACTCAGGACAATCTGAGCATGGAAGAGTTGTCCAAGCCAATGGCTCGCAGCGCACATCCATGGCTCTGGACAAATGGACAAACCAAACAAGTCACCGGGACAAATGCCACAGCGCCCCATCAGAGCGCACATCAAAGGCAACCACGCGGTGACCTGCATGGTCGCTTACCGAACACGTTTAGAAGCGTGGGGCACCGTTTGGGTAGCGGCTGTTCCAAGAGGTACAAACAAGGCCGAGGAGATGGTACAAAGCTCGACTGCGTGGCGGGAGGGGACTGGAAGGCCCAGCTGGTCTTGGACCGTGAGCTGGAGCCGGACGCGTGAGGCGTGTGGGGTTCTGTGCGAAGCCCGGAGCGGGTAGGGGGGTCGGGGTGTGGTCAGCATTTCGATTGAGTGGTGCTGGCTCCGCCGGTAAAGCTTTGGCGCTGCAGGAGCCTTGGGGCCGTCTGTAGTTGTTGTTTCAGCTTTGTCACTGCCAGTGATGAATTGTGGAGTAAGTGGATCGCGTGGCGCTGCAATACTGTGTAGGTTGCGAAAGGGTTCTGCGGACGGTGTGTGTGGTGTTTGAATAGTTCATTAATCTATCGCATGAACTGTTGTCGTACGTGTCGTCAGCCAGATTGGCGTTTTGCGTGTGTTTGTTTGTCAGTGATGTGTTGCAGTAATTCTAGTCCTCTCCATCGCTTCATGTGACAAATGCTGCTGTTGTAATTGTGGTGTACGCGCTTTGGCGAAATGACTTTCACATACTTCATGTCTCGTGAAGGAGAATGCCCATATATGGTTTTTATCAAATTTTCGTTTCATTTTTGAGGTCTTGCGCGTCATTGTGTCAACATTCTCAGTGCACTTCACCTTGTCTCACAAAGGCAGGATTAAGTCTGCGATCGGTCGAGAAGCTTTGCTGCCATTTTTAAAAAAAACTAACTTGCTTAACTACCCGTCGTCCACTGACAAGTGGCCGGGTCTGCTGCCACCCCGGCCCACCGCGGCGCAATGGACGGTGCGCTTATACCAATCCTATCGCTACAAACGATAACAAACCGAGTCGATTCTGAGCCTACGCAGAATCGCCTAACTTCGCAGAAAAGTACCACAGCACTGCAAAGAAGAGCTTCGGAATCCAAGGAAAACACAATGTCAAGGTCTTGAATGCGTCAACAGTGCTGCTCATTATAATGTTTTCAAAGTGCTGTTTGTGCGCGTCTTGCCAACGTACCGGGATCCTGTTGGCATTCCGCTAATTACGTTGCAATATGAGTCGAGTCGTCCACTTCGAGGCAAAGAACAGCCGCTCTCGTCTGGCGCACTCTGCGGCCTGGACATGCTCTGTGACGACGCGTCGAGATGACCCGTACGGAGGTCACACGCAACCATAGCGCCTGTGTCACGGACTGACGCACGTTAGCATGGGTCGGGGCTCGTAAGAATGGCGCCAAGGGCACGACAGGAGGTATCGATAATTGGTGACTGTTCGGGCACCGTGGTGGAGAGGTCTTGCGAAAAGTTCCGCCCAGCGTGCGCGCCGACCCGAAGATGTTTACTTCAGCCAAGAAAATAGCCCGTGAGTAGTGCATGCTTACATGCACTACACATGTATGTACACACGCATTATAGTATGTGAATGCGCGGATTTTGCTAGGGGCAGCTGCGCGGTAGCAACTTTGCATATTGACAAGCATGCTATGATTCCCCAATGTCACGTTTATTGAATATGCACATTATGCGAGTGTCAGCTGAGCGCGCTGACAAACACGACTGGATTACTCCAGGCGGCTTCGAATATCACAATAGCGTTACATCGACATTTGTAAGTTTCATCTCCGACGGCACCTCTACGAAAATGTGCCCGCACACGCGCGAGGTGGTTTGGCCCAAGTCGTTGCACGTCACGATCCAGCAACAGAATTACACGATTACATTACACTGGGGCACTCCTGTCACCCACGATAAAATTGCATGATAAATCAACGTGACTGCACGTATCTAACGCGACTAACATCAATCAGATAACGTTTCATACACTACACGACACATGTCAACGTGGCAAGAGAGCGCGGACCGTCGATCAGCTAGCCCGTCCAGCGCGCCGCACACGACTACACGCACCGCGCGCTGATGTTCGTCTGCACGTCACGAGCTCGCGGTTGCTAGGCGGCTACACCCTCGCTGGGGGCGGCCTGATGGGAGCGCACGCCGTGCGCCGGTGCTGCCGCCTCGCGGCGACCCTCGCCCGGGGGCGAGCGGCCAGGAGCGGCGCGACCGCCACGGCGCGCCTTCTCACGCATTCACGCACACACGCATGAGAGGATGGCGTATGTACAGATGGGGCGGGCTGGCCGGCCTCACCGCAGCACCACGTTGCTGATGTACAGTTCGGGGTGGTCGGAGCGCGAGCCCTTCTTGAACGGGTTCCAGGAGTGACGGCGCGCCGAGCCCTTGCTGTTCTGGCTGGCCAGGCTGCTGGCCGGGCTCGGCTTGCGGCTGGAGACGCCCGAGCTGACGCCCGAGCTGGAGAGCGAGCCCCAGGTCTTGTCCGAGAGCGGCGGCATGGGCGGCGGCCGCGGCGGCTCCGGCGTCTGCCGAGACAGCGGGTACCGGTCAGGGGAGCTGGTTTACCCCCAGCTCGCGGGCAGCACCAGGCTACCGTGAGTGTATCGGCCTGCCTTCAGCATGCATGCCGGTACAACGAACAGGGCTCGGGTGCCCTGTTCGTTATGCCGATTGCCGAAATTCCGATGAGAAGTGGCCCCATTCACAAGCACTACCGCAGCCGGCGCACACTGTCCTCGTGACGGGCACACACACGATGCTGGTCAAAGGCGCACATGGTGTGCTTTTCGGCGCAAGAGGCTGCACAGCAGAAACTGCTTGTTCAATTGCCGCCACCGTGCTTCCCATAACTTTGCGTTCCACACGACAGCTGATCCACCAATCACCGCAGCCGCAGCCTGACCCACACCGAACGTGTTTGACGAGCTGCGGCCGTGCGCCGCGAACGCCGCCTCACCTGTTCTGTCTTGTCCATGGGCGTGATGATGTGCAGCTGGAACTCGCTGCCGGCGCGCCGTATCTGCGCCACCACCTCCGTGTGGCTGCTCCACTTGAGGTCCTCGCCGTTCAGGCCGGCGATGTAGTCGCCTTCCTTCAGACCGACGCGCTGGGGGCACGGCCATAGCGCACGTCACGCCTAGTCAAGGCCTGGGACCGGCAGCGCCCCTGGCGGCAAGGTATGGAAACACCGCCGCTCTGGGCCTTTGTTCAGACCGAGAAGCATGGCGCGTTGTATCAGAGATGTGGTATGCACCTAACTGGAGACGGCGTCATTTGAAAACCGATGTTCCCGCTTAGCATCACTGCTCATCGCTGTTCATTATTCCGGCCAGCTTGATCACGAGGCAAGCAACCACGAGTCGCTCAATTCTAATAATTATTCCTCTAAATCTCAAAATCAGCGAAAATAAAAATGGTGGCGAGGTAGCTTGTAGTGGCACTGGTCGGAATTTAGCTGAGACTAAGACAACTTCTAGGGGTTACTAGCACAATAGAAGGCATTGTCAAAAGCATCACACTTCAGTATCAAAACAGGAAAAACAACCCGAGCGGACGAACCAGGTGGCATCCCTCACCTCGGCCAGCCCTGCCGGCTCCACGCCGACCACCACGACGGGCGCCTCCATCTTGACGCTGAAGCCCAGCCCCTCGCCGGGCAGGCGGTGGATGTGGACGGTCCGCGGCGCCGACCAGTGGTGGTGGGCCGAGAACACCTCGACCGGGCCCAGCTCCCGGAACAGGTCGGTCACCTGGTGCTGGCTGAAGTCGGGCGCCTGCAGTGACAGCTGGTACTTGGACGAGCCTGCAACGGAGGCGACACGCTCCAGAGCGCGGCGGAGACCCGGGATGGGGGGGGGGTCTGTTCCCGCGCCGGTATACTGTCTGCTTACTGGCTTCGCGGCGAGTTTGTTAGGGCCTTAGGAAACGGACAGAATATTGCTGCGCTTAGCATTTGGTTTGATCACAAACCTCGCACTAGGGTGCATTCATGGACCTTGCTAGTATCGGCAACACACGGCTAGCCTGCATCTCGCTCGAGGGAAATCATCAAAGCCGCACATCCGGAGTCATAAACGATGTTTATCCTCTTCTCCGCGTGTCAGCCGGCTCACCGGTCCGTGCATCGCACCGCATCAGCATCGCACTCGTGCATCGCATCCCATCAGCATCGCGCCCGTGTATCGCATCCCATCAGCATCGCACCCGTGCATCGCATCCCATCAGCATCGCACCCGTGCATCGCATCCCATCAGTATCGTACCGGTGACGACGGGCGCGTCCACCGGCTCGTCGAAGTCGTCCTCGCGCTCCAGCAGGCCGTACTGCTCGCTGCTCAGCTCCAGCGCCAGCCGCAGCACGTGGCGCAGCATGTCGCGCTTGCGCAGCTCGCGCGCCATCCGGTACAGGCGCAGACTCTCCTCGTGCAGCACGATGGCCTCGCGCAGGTGGCATTTGGCTGGGAACGGCACCGGCGGTCAGGGCGGCGGTCAGGGCCGCCTGGCGGCGGGCGGGGGGAGGGGGAGGGGGCGGTCCGATCTCGCAGCAACACGGTTCCGATCATCTTGTATGCGTTGCTGCTCGTGAGCCCACATATAGTAGGGATTCGGTCGTGGCCAGGTAAAATTAAGAACACAGGGATAATGCAAACACTTGCGGTTGACGCACCCCAAGGCCAACTACATCAACATGCTCGCCAGTGCACCCGCGTCCACCTCGAGGACAGCTGGGTTTCACGCTGGCCCCCTTGATCCCAGATGAGCGTTGACGGTCAGCTGTGACGTACCCAGGTAGTCCTGCTGGACCTTGTTGTGCGGCACCTTGTGTTCAACGGAGAGCAGCTGCCCCTCCCGGTCCCTCTGCGACAGCTGCAGCGTGTCGGCCATTCTCCTGCTCAGGGGACCCTCGTGCTCCAGCAGGCCTGTGCACAGTCGAGCACGAGTGCAGGGGTCACCACTGCGCTACAGCCAGCGAGCCATCGGCCGGGCCTCATCCAATAACTCCTCATAATAAATTGCATGCTGTGTTTCTGGTCTCGATTAATCAGAAACGGCGGCAGCTAGCTGAAAATCCTGGCATACACAGCAGTCGTTAGTTTCATATGCACCTGTTCTCTGCCTGTCTGGAGCTAAGCGAGCTGGTCAAAGAACACGTATAAGCCTCACGAGCCAGAGCTAGCTGAGCTGTGCTTGGGGCACCACCTGCGGTAAAGCAAGCCAGGATATGTACATTGATCGGATCGGACCCGAACTGTTGTCAAAGTACGAACAGCATACAACCCATGCCAGGACAAATGTCATTGAGATAGTGTAGAGCACAGCAGATAAAGGCAATGCATTTTTACGCGTCTAAATTGAATTTCAGAGACCGTGCCAGCCATGTATTAACACAGAGGCTACCTCAGCAATATACTCGCCCGCTGCCTGTTGGCAAAATGATTCCTCTGGTGCTATTTTCAGTGCACATTTCGGCAGCGTCATCCAACGCCAATCTGTTCTGTGACTGTCTGGTCGGCACTTACCGACGGCGAAATGATGGTGAGAAATGGCGGTGTAATACACTTCCTTAATGTGGATCAGCTGCTGCCACGACACGGGCAGGGACTCCTGCACGGACGGTGCTGCCATCTGCTCCCGTAGCCGGTGGTACACCTCGGCCACCTGCCGGTAACAGAGCGGTTGCTCAGAGATCTCGGTGCCGTGGCAGATACGGGGCGTACGATAGAGCTTAAAAATTCCGGCATGGCAGGATGGTACTTTTGCACCGGAAAAAAATAATTATGCATATGAAATATATAATTATATATACATATATATATATATATATATATATATATATATATATATATATATATATATATATATATATTAGATGTTTTCCAACAGAAGTGCACAATTTTTTATCCTTTAAAACTCAAAACATATATATATATATATATATATATATATATATATATATATATATATATATATATCATGACGTGCTGGGAAACAGGCCTAGTATCGGTGACCACTATTTGTCCCAATCGCCAGCAGAAAGAATCCTTTATCGTATGCTTTGTTTATCATGTGTGCCTTTAAAACACTACCGCACCAAACATGGATTTGTAAAAGGCGCCACGACAGGCCGGAAATGGTATGCTAGTCATTGTCTTTCATGCCCACCTGTGCGGCCTCCTGGCCAATATCCAGCTGAGCGCTGAGGTCTTGCTTCTCTTCAGGAAGGAGCAGCTTCTCTAGAAGACACTCCTTGGCCTGGGCCAGCAGTAGGTTGGCCAGCACGTCCAAAACATCAGCGTCCAGGTCTCGACTTGGAGCGTTCGAGAAGTTCTCCAAGATGTACCTGTTAAGCATAAGTTTCGTTAGCAGACGGCCTACATCAGTACATTATCGCGTTCGGCGTCGTGTCAGTCCAGGGAGTACACCACAAACCGAAGAGAAATCCCGGGAATACCAGCGCCATCGATTTAAGATTGTTTCTGGGGACATCTGAGATGAAATGTGGAATGGTGATGCTAATACACTCCAGCAGCTCATGATGATGACGATGATGGTGGTAGTAACCAATCGATCTTCGAGCAATTGCGAGCACTCGACTTTATAGCATCCACCTCAAGCCCAGTCAAACATCAGCTGCACATAGTTGCCCACAGCGCTGCCTAAGCCTCATCTATAGATGCCACCTGCCCGCAGGTAGCTGTCAACGGTGTTGTCCAGGCCTCACCTGTAGATGCGGCTGCCCGCAGGTAGCTGTCGACAGTGCTGCTCAGGCCTCACCTGTAGATGCGGCTGCCGCAGGTAGCTGTCAACAGCGCTGTCCAGGCCTCACCTGTAGATGCCCCTGCACGCAGGTAGCTGTCGACAGCGCTGTTCAGGCCTCACCTGTAGATGCCACCTGCCCGCAGGTAGCTGTCAACAGTGTTGTCCAGGCCTCACCTGTAGATGCGGCTGCCCGCAGGTAGCTGTCGACAGCGCTGTTCAGGCCTCACCTGTAGATGTCACCTGCCTGCAGGTAGCTGTCGACAGTGCTGTCCAGGCCTCACCTGTAGATGCCGGCTGCCCGCAGGTAGCTGTCGACGGCACTGTCCAGGCCCTCCTGCGTGCCGCGCTCCTGGCGCGCCGCCAGCTGGCTGTACAGCGCCGCCATGTTGAACAGGACCGACGCCTTCTCGAACGCGACGGTTCGCTGGCAGCTGGGCAGACCCGTCAGCGAGTCGTACCTGCGAGAGTGGCCGCAGAGGGTCAGCGGCCCGGCGCGGTCCAGCGCGGATCGATCGACGAAGCCATCGGCGCGTGGTCGACGGGTGTCATGTTCCTTATGGACCCGGCGTGCTATAGGTGGGAAATGGGTAGACTCTTGATGTCGCTGATTGGTGAGCTGGGCGAATGCCAGCCACGATCAGGCAGAGCAGTTTATGCATGGATGGTATTCAGCTGGAAATGTCCGCGCCATGACACGCCCCGCGGCTCGTCCAATCAACGCGTCGGGCGCTATGTCAACGTCACAAAAAACAGCGGTTATCCAGAAGTGAAGGAAAGGCCTGATGGGTGAACAAATATAGCTTTGAGACGACCAACCCACTGATGCGGAGCATTATAAATGCATACCAAGCTCGAAGTAAGAGAATTTTGTTCCAGATAATTACATGGACATGCGCTGCGTTTGCAGGTGTGGACGGTCAGTCAGCATCGTGATAGCGCGCGTCAGAGTCATCGGAAAGTCATCTCTGTCAAAAACAAATAAAATTATGCATGTTTATCCCCCCCGTACGTCTCTGGGTCAGGGAAGGTGACCCTGGGACAAACACTGGGCACTGTGGCGAAACGACGTGTCACGTTGTTCCCCGCAGCTTGTGTCCCCTCCGCCCCGACTACAACCACAAGTCACGAGCGAGCGTACCGCAGCCTCGCACGTGCCGAACGCTGCAAAAGCTTGCACTAGCGCTCGGACCCCATGCAACCGCTGTCCGAACGCACAGACAGTGATGCTGACAAACACAAGTGCGGTGACGGAGGTTTCCTCGTGTCTCCCACCCAGACCTGGTCAAGGTCGGGTGCATCCGGGACCAGTCATCTCCACTGCGTGTGCGTGTGCGTGGGCGTCCAGTGACAGTCCGATCCGGGGTAAATACGCGCGGCGGGCGCCTGGCCGACTCCAGTCGACACCACGGAATGTCAATCCTGCCGTCACGCTCGGCCGCGGGCCGGAGGACCGCCGTAAACAGGCGCCTGACGCGGGCACTGGACGGGACGAGCGAGGCCGGCAGGCCGACACGCCAACCGGCGGGGCGAGGCCAGGCTGCGGCCCTGCAGGCACGCGCGGACCGCCGGGGTGCCCCGGCCGGCAGCTGCGCCTGGGTCAGCCGCCGGCTGCCCCTGGTCGTTCGCGATGCTCTGCCGGCCTGGACTCAATGACGCGCACGGTAATGGCGTTGCCTACTGCCAGGGCGCTCTGCATGTGCCGACATCGTCTGCACCTTGCCGGCGGCAAAGCGAACTCCGTCGGGAAATGAATGACTGCGCCGGTGTGCGCTACAGGGGCTCAGCTGCTTCTCATAGTCAACGATAAGATCAATAGCGATCGAAATGGCCAGTTGAGCCAGCCAATCCTGGCACTTAGAGAAGTGCGAGCGTGGGCGGACGTGATATGTGCGTGTGCGTGCGCCCGCCACCGCTGGACCATCGCCGGTGATAACGGCGCACGCACCGCCGCCTACGCACGGCGCGGGCCAATCAAGCCGGGCACCCGGCATGGAGAGTGAAATCGGACACTTTCCAGCGGCGGCTGCCCGCAGAGGACACTGGCCGCCCCTCCCAGCCGCCGGCTGTAGCAGGGCCCACGCCCCGGCTGCGTTCCCAGCCGCTCTCGGCCGCTCCCCTGGGAATGGCCAGCGACACCGGTCGGTTTCTCCGCCGGCCGGTGCCGCGCCGCCGCCGCGAGGCGACGGAGGACGGGCTGCCGGCCGTGACATCGCCGGACGGTCCGGCCCATGGGTGACGTCACGGACCGGATGCGGACGGGCTGGAGTCGGCCCGTCGGCCGGTCGGTCGGCCGGCCGGCGGACGGGTCGCAGGACGGCCAGGGAAAGTGTCCCCGCCGGGACACGGCGGCAGAGCACGCCGAGGCCGGCGGCGCAGCTGCGTGGCACAGCTTGGAGAGGGTCACACAAGCGCGCGCACGACAGATCAGCGGCCAGCACGACTGACGAGCGCGTGCTGCGCGTGCGCTGTCCGCGTCACGTAGGAGCATGCAGACGTCACGTATGTTGTTGTCACGTGGACGTTGCTCGTCATTTTAATGACGTCACTGCAAAAATATGGTAAATGTCGATCACTTTGCGACAAGGTCAGTGGTACTTTCCCGGGAAATATACGTTGACGCTCCGGGAACATGCAACACCAGTCGACAGTCACATCTGTGGTTGTCTTGATGGTTGACGAGGGAGATCGAAGGAATAACTTACGGCGCACAGTTCATACGGTATAGGGGTCAGATGGATGTAAATGTCTTGCCGCGGGTGGCAGCGTGTCTCCCTCACTCCCCATCGGTGCCAGTGCGGGTCACTCTCCGAGATGTGCGGAGTTCCCCATGGGTGGCGGTGTGGGTCTCTCTCCAAGATGTGCGGAGTTCCCCAAAGGTGCCAGCGCGAGTCACTCTCCGGGATGTGCGGAGTTCTCCATCGGTGGCGGCGTGTGTTACACACCACTCCCCATCGGTGCCGGTGCGGGTCACTCACCACTCGAAATGGATGCCAAGACTGCGGTCCGGAGGGAAGAAGCGGCGCTCGATGAAGTACAGCTGGTTGTAGTACTCGAACAGCAGCGCCAGTCCCGTCTGGTTCCGCTCTGGCGTCCGCATCGCCTGTCAGCGGAGCACCGATGTCACCCACCACGCCGACCACCCGGCCCGGCCGCGCGCCGAGGTGGAGGTACGAGCAGAACCTGTTTGGGCACGGTTTTATCGCAGCATATACGTAGCAAGAGTGGTACTGCGGACTTACTGCTCAATGTTAGGAGCTTAAACAAAGTCCGACAAGGTATTACTCCAGATTTCCCCTCGCAGCCTTAAGAAACTTCTGATTGTGTTCGTATGGGCCACAAAAATACTATGCAGGAAAGGTGTTTCAATGCCTGACTTTTTAATAACAGACATGGATCAGCTACGCGAATCTTCCTCATAGGAGAGGTCAGAGGCAAACGCCACGAGCAAAGGCCTAACAGACGTTAAAAGGTAACACCTCTAGACAATGGCTGAACCGGCTGAACAACAGCTCTAGCGGCAGTGGCAGCCATTTCAACAGTGGCTTCGACCGAGCGACCTCCGTGGGACACCACACGAGGTCAAGCCTGCGAACGGCCCATCTGCGTGCAAGACTTTGCACTGAAATAGCTTGTAGCGCATGCCTGGTAGTAGGCATGCACTACAAGCAGGCAGACATGCACTACGAGCACTGAAATAGCTTGTAGTGCATGCCTGGCAGCAGGCATGCATTACAAGCAGGCAGACATGCACTACAAGCACTAACATAGCTTTTAGTGCATGCCTTACATGCTCTTGAACCCCTTGTGTCAGCGACCATTTATGAAACGCCGGGAAGGTGTATTATCTTCTGCGGTGCTGACCAGTAGCTCTCCCCACACGATGTTCGAATCATGGCGATGCGGGACCCCACACGCGGAGCAGTATCTGTTGGTGGTGGGTCTAGCCGTCTCCCTCGGTCCCTTCGCGACCGGCCGTTGCCGCTCCACCCGGCCTGTTCCCCTCGGTCACGTCGCGGCCGACCGCTGCCGCTCGAGCCGGCCAGTCCCCCTCGGTCCCGCCGCGGCCGGTTACTGCCGCTAGAGCCGGCCCGTCCCCTGCGGTTCCGTCGCAGCCGGCCGCCGCCGCTTCCGAGCCGGCCCATCCCCCTCGGCCCCGCCGCGGCCGGCCGATGCCGCTCGAGCCGGCCCATCCTCCGCACGGTGACAGACACTGGAGCGGCGGACAGCTGGCGAGCGCCGCGGGCGGTCCGTGACTCAGCCCGTTTCGCCCCCATAAGGCTGCGGCCGGAGCCGGTGGTCGACCGCTGTCCCAGCAGCCGGTGTCTGCCGTCCCAACCGCGGAGCGCCAAGGCGGCCGCCGGTGGCCGACGCTCACCTGGCGTGTGTTGGTGAAGTCCTGGATGGCGCCGGCGTACTTCTGAGCGTCCTCGCTGTAGTGCTCCAGGATAAAGTCCTGCGGGTCACGCGGGTACGTAGGTGAAGGAGCCTTGTTCGCTCGGGCCGGCTGGTGCGAAAGTGAGTTGGTCTCACCATTTTCAAGGCATTGCGCGGTGAATGCCCTGCATGCCACCTACACTTCCGTCCAAACTTATAATGCGCTGTGATGATTCAACGGCTCCCTTTTCGGGACGATGATCGCGAATGAGTCAAGCCAGGAACTGATGACGTAAATGTCAGTCAGGAGACCGCAGAGCCAACCGGAAACAGCAATGGAAGCAGGTGATAGAGGGACAACCGTACCTTGAAGGCGTCTCCGAAGTCGATGTACTTCGTCTCCTTTAACCCGAAGGGAATCATAGGAATGTACGGTGTTCCGCTGCGAAAGATAATAAAGCACGGTCATATGTACACAACATGTGAGGGACTTCCTTTATTTAAAATCCCATGGTAGTAAAGCACAGGAGAGGAGTGCAGCTAAAACGGGGAATTTCATATTGCGGGGAACCTTCAACGGATGTTGGGCATTGCTGACGCCTTCTGGTCCGTGCTCTTGGTCCATGCCCTTGGACCGCTGACCTTGGGTGACATGGTCGGAATGTCACTACAGGCAAGGTGGGCAGGGGTGCGGCTTAAGAAACAGACGAAGTCCATTCTGTCCTGGAATCATCTATGTCTTGACCAAGCTCGCACTCACCACCGTCTACTTGTCAGGGTTTTCAGTCCCGCAATTACGTGCTCGGCTTGCAAGAACTACGCGTACATTTAATCAGTTGGTGGTTGGAGCGGGTAACCGTCACATGCGAACACGCAACCACATATTTTTGCGGAGCGCAGTGCCTGATTCTGTTTGGTTCGTGACCCCTGAAGGCGATAACAAGCTTGCTCATGCGTCGTTAGCTTTAGACCCTTCCAGCATCAGCGTCGCCTTGTTAGTCTGAACACGGGGTTAATTGTGTTTTGATCCAGCTCACGCACCCTTGCAGCCGCGAGATCTGATAAAGGCTGCAGTAAATGTGTGTGCTATCAAGACACATAGCCTGAAAATTGAATATGCTGGTCTTCAGCTGTCAGACAATAGATGATTGATCACACTATCGAATTGTATACAGCTGATTAGCTCATATACAGAGAGATTTCAAATGCAAGCGAAGAAGAAAACTTGTACCAGATGCAAGCCAGCGCTACTAACAATTAAACAAGTATCATTAATGATATCTCACGAAGCCCATTTATTCGAAAATACGCTCCATAAAGACATACATAATAAAGCATAAGAACGCTCTCGCGCTGCCTTACCTATCACCCTGGTAGATTTCCACTGAGCTATTGAGGTCCGATAGCTCCTCCTTCAGATACTGAAGGTTGGAACTGACAAAGCTCAGCTCCAAAGACACGGCTTGTCGCACCTTCTTGTTCTCCGCAGCTCTGGCAGTGGACAGTGGAGCCCACCTCAGCGTTAGGTTGTCTACGCGTTACTGAACAGACAGGAAAATACTTCGTACTTCGCTCGATGCACGAACAACTTTGGACTTCGGGCTTGCTGCACGCGCGTGTACTGAAGTGTACTGAGGGTACAACACCGCGAGGGTTCCGTAATACAAGCCCCGCACACATCACACCATCCCAAGAGGGAGATTTACAAGACATGAACAAAACGCCAGCACCAGGTGGTGGCCGGTGGTGAAATCCAAGGGCGGCGGCACAAGGCACCACGCGCCTTTTGAGTCTCTGCCAGCGCCATAGGCCGGTGTCAGAGGTCAACGGGGTCACGTCCCGGCACCTCGTGCGTGCGTACATTGGTACAGCAGACAAATGGCAACTGTTGGGAGGCGCTTACAGACAGCTTGAGGTCAGCCAAGTCTTTAACAGAGATGTCGTAACACCCAGCCCGGGGACGGCGTCGCCTCCTCCCCACCATTGCCGCGCGCGTCCACTCCCCTGGCTAAACGTTACACCGCGCGATCTCAGACAGTGTGACAGCTTCAGCTCCACCGTTCCCTCCCCCGGGGAGAACCGCGGTCCCTGGCCAACACCGCGCGGGCAGCCTCAGCTGGGCGTCGCAACAGACCTGAGCAGGTTCTCCGCGCCCTGTCGCAGCAGCAGGTGCTTGTTGATGTCCTGGTTCAGCTTGGAGCGCTTGAACTGCAGCTTCCCCCGGCAGGTGGCAGCCCGGGGGTCGGAGCCCTGTCCGACAGAGCACCAGCGTTATGGGCTAGCGCCACCAGCGGGCACCGGCTGCGGCCTCTGAGAGGGACGGTCAACAGGAACGCGCGAGGAACGCGGCCGCCCGACACAGGCAGTTGGTGCACGCGGTTGACCTGGATGACTGACAGTTGACACGGGTGTTGACATGCACAGTCGGCATGGAAGGCTCATGACGAAGGTGAATACGGACAGATGACATATAAGCTGACACAGATGACCGACACAAATGTCTGACACAGACGGCTGGTGCAGTCGGTTGGGGCAGACGGTTGACAACGAACTTGACACGGACGGCTGACACAGGCGTTTGACACGGACGCTTGGCATGGACGTCTGGCATGGACGACCCGATGTGAAGTCTGTGCAAGCACGTAAAGACTGAGGGAGCCATGGAAAAGGGACGCAGAGAGAAGCTGAGGAGGTGCGTGTCCAGCCACCGCTTTCGCTCAGCGCGAAATAACACTGACAGAGCATAACACTTTAGCAGTACATGGCAGATGCGTGGCCGTACGGCGTGGGCAGACTTTTGCAATACATGGCAAGTGCGTGGCTGTACTGCGTGGGCAGACTTCTGCAGTTCACGGCAGGCGCGTGGCCGTACGGCGCGGACAGACCTTGATCAGTATTCATCTCGGTCGACCCGATCACCACTCGGCGCTTGTTTTCTTGGAATATCACGGGCTTCACGTTTGATCCGATTAATGAGGCCTGACTTTTAGTTGAGCCCCTCCCCCTCTGATTAAGGACTAAACGAACAAATGCCGCTTGCCTCCGGACAATTAAGTGGAATCCTTAATAGTCGAGTCTGATAGCCAGAACGGCACCTGTCTAATCACCGCGATAATGGTCCAACGGAAGCGATTACACGCCGCGTTGGGAATAACAGACGACGGTATTAATTGGCCCCAGTGGAGGCGCAGTGTTACGTCTGCCTCGAAGATTGCCGCCAGGCTGGCCACCGTTGCGTAGAACATGCCGCGCGCGCGTCAGTTTTATGTCGACGGAGCCGCGACCCGCCAGTTATTAAGCAGTGCCGGAGCTGCGGCGAGACGGCACTTTATCACAGTTGCTTAATTCTGTGTCAGTAAGCCGTCACCTTGCCCCTCGGTGCTAGGTGAGACAGTTGGCCAGCACAGGGGCGCGACGAATGGGTCCAAGTCTCCGGTGGGTACGAGCGCATCAGCAGCCGATGCAGCGGTAACGGTTTTGCCGCAAGCTACCGCACTGGCTGGGGTCAGGGTCACAGACGACTTAGCCCAGGTGTGAACACCCACTTCAAGATTATACTACTACGCAAAGCTGTGAAAGCCCGTGGCCCATTGTGGGCTCGCGTGCGTACGACAGTAACCGAAAACTAGGTGCCCGGAAGACGCGGACATCACGTCAGACCAAGCCTGAAGACAGCGCTTCGATGGGTGAATGGAATGAAAGCAAGTGTGCAACGGCCGGCCCCACCACGCCCATACGTCTGCCACGTTAGTGGTCAGACCAACATCTGGACCGCCGTAAGACGGAGTCGACAAGAGGGAGATCCGGCACAGGGGGTCAGACACGACTGACCTGGCACGGGCGTGCTCGTTCTAAGCGCCGGTGCCCGCCGACCGGCGGCAGTTGCGGACCATTGTTCCTTTGTTGCCCGTCGCCGACGGCGCCGCAGTTTCGGAGGCGCCGCCGGCGCGCGCACCGAACACTGGCGCAATCGACGAGCCGCCGCCAACAATGGCTGGGGAGCGCGCCGAAATCTGGGCCGCGCGACGCGCTCGCGAGGGGAAACCGAGCTGCCGTCCCGGCCGACGGGCCAGATCCGTCATCGGCGTCCGCTTCTGAGCAAATTATCGGCCACTCTAGCCGTCATTTAGAGCTTAAACGGACGGTGATGCGCAGCGAAATCGCCGGTATGGTCCGTTCTCGGAGGCGGTCCGGACGGGCCGCCACACTACGGTGACGACGCGCCGGAACCGGAACCCGAGGTCAGACCCAGCTGTAACCGGTCACGCAGCCTTAGCCAGCGGGAGCGTGCGGCTGTCGGGACGGTCACCAGGGCAACACGTGCAGTGCCTGTTGTCAGCAAGCACCGATCGACCAAACGGCAGTGCCAGCCGGTGCAGGGGCGCTCGGTGCTCGGCATGAGGCCGACCAGAGCCGGCGGCACCTCCGCCCGCTACGGTACGACAGTCGGGGAAAGCTGCACACGGGCTGCTGCTGGGAAGCAGCCACGCTGGAGGTACGTCGACGCGGACAGGAATGTGCATCCCCCACTTTTTTCCTTTGCATCCAGCGCAATTTGTCCGCGAGGTTGGAAAATAAAACCGGAGAGTGCATATTTCCAACGTAGACAGTAGATCCAACAATGATTGTTCAATAATGTCCGATAAATTGGCAATACACCTGACATAACACTTCAAATACGTACGCGCCGCATATACCATACGCAACAAGTCCCCACAACAGCGCTTTACCAGCTACCCGTGCAGTGTTCGACTTACATTTTCTGAAAAGAAAAGTTTACACAAGCAAGAAATGTTTGAACTGCTAGTTTTTTAGCATCGTGAGTTAAGAGTTTTTATGCTGGGAATAATCTCCGCTCGATATACCAGGGGTAATGGTTAAACAACGCTATCAAGCAAAGATTGACTTAATTGTCAAAACTTGACGTTTCAAGCAATTTTGGTTATAACTTGTGACTGTGAGTACAGCATGCAATGTCGAGTTTTGAAAACGTAACCAAAGCTTGTTTGGTAACGTCGTTTAGCCAATATCTTCCGTGTAATATCTTGAAGGTCGATTATAAGCACTCCGAACTCATAATGATAAGGATAGCTTACATTTCGAACTGCTTCGCGGTGAAAGCTTTGGCGATGGCACGGGCATTCCACATGCCGTGTCACACATCAATCTTTAAACACCTGCATGATTTACTATCTAATTTCATCTACATCATCCATGTTTCATTCGTGTTTTCCATAACACGATTTCACCAGAACTCTATCGCAGAGGAATGGGAGACAATAAGTCGATTGCAACCCGGTATGCAGGAAATTGAAAGTGGGGGATAAAATGTGTCACGAGATCTCAATAGATGTTTACAATCACATGAAGTAAGAAAAACGTTTGGAAACTTTTCAGATTCCGAGACGATTTCAAACGAAGTGCACGTCAAGTTATAAGGCGCTGCTCATAATGACTTATCCGTCCATTTTTACCACAAATCACTTGCATAGTACGTCTTTCCAAACCATCATCACCGTTTTCTGGTAACATAAGTCCCATCACGTTTCAGAATGCTGCAGTTTTCTGGAAAGGACCCGACAAAGATACGATTTGGAAGGAGCCAACTGTGCGGCTTCAAAAATGGCTATAACTTTGTGGGGCATGGCGGCCCTCTTAGCTGTGCCGACTCGGCCCCAGGCCTGGAAGGAATGCTGGACGAGCTAGCCGACCATGATCCTATTCTTACTTATGGTGATCCAAAGTCAAAACGTGGACCAAAAACCAGATTTGTACCATCGTATGTAGCATACGACAAAAAAGTTTTGAAGTTCTTGGCATACTTTAAGCAAAAAACGCCAAATTCTCAGGAGGAGAAGTATCGTATTCGGTATGTACACATCCTGTATTTTCTCGAGGACGACACCATCTGCATCATGGAGCCAAACGTCGACAACTCGGGAATTCCGCAAGGCAAACTGCTTCGCCGTCACCGCGTGCCCAAGAACGACGCCGGAGAGTACTACCACTGGCGGGACTTCGACGTGCAGGACGACGTCTGCTTCTACGGCCTGTACTACCACATCTACGACTGCGACCCGTTCACCCGCCAGCTGTATGAAAGCGAGGGGATCGACTTACGCGCGGCGGACGAGTCTACTCCGGATGACCCGTACATTCATGACCGGAAGATGAGGTTGCTTCCCCACACGTACGTGACTCCACCCCAGTGGGACAAGCTGCGGCAATTCTTGCACATGGACCGCAAGGTGCTCAGGTTCTACGTCGTGTGTGACGACAGGGATGAGCTGTACGGGGAGCTGAGGAAGTATATCCTGCTGTACTACCTGGCGGACGACACCATCGAGATCCTTGAGGTGCATAAGAAAAACGACGGGCGGGACCCGTTCCCATGCCTGCTGCGACGCCAGAAAGTGCCCAAGAAGATGCACCACTCCCTGACGTTTCCATCCATTAACCTCGAGGTCAGCCCTACGGAGGTCAAGGAGTGGTTCCTCGACACCGACCTAAAAGTCGGCGGGTCGGTGTGCATCTTCAACAAGCGCTTCCTGCTTTACGACTGCGACGAGTTCACCAAAAACTACTACAGGGAAAACTACTGCATCACCGACTTCACACCCGTCGATGTTTCTCGCCGAGCCCAGGGCCTCGAAAAGAAGGTGGCCCGACCTCCTCCAAACCCCGAGCCACTAGTGCTCAAGACACCGGAGAAGGACTACATGAAGTACCTCGAGAACGATGGCATCATCCTGCGCTTCGAAGCGGAACTGGAGTCACAGAAGCCTTACCACCGGGAGCGCCGCTTCATCATCTCCTACTACCCGTCCGACGACACCATCTCTATCTACGAGCGTGTCCTGCGCAACTCGGGCGTCATTGGCGGCAAGTTCCTGCACCGCATGATGGTGGAGAAGCCGGAGAGCACAAAGGAGGACCCCGTCTATTTCACGCTGCGAGACTTCTGCATCGGCACAACGCTGCAAGTCTACAATCACCGTTTCAAGATCGTCAACGCAGACCGCTTCGTGCTGACGTTCCTGGAGGCCAACCCGTGCGGACTGGAGGGCACCATCGCCAACCTGAATCAGTTTTTCCAGGCGCACCCGGCGCCGCAGCCGGTGTGCACCTCCGAAGAACAGGCGGAGAGCGACGAGCGTGCTCCGGCCGGCGGCGGAGGCCTCGAGGTCAGGGAGGTCTCCGTCATGCCAGACATGAGCCAGCCGGAGTACCGCTCGCCCATGGAGAAGTATCTCGACGAGAAGCGGCGCACCGAGGTCGAGATCGAGCACAACAAGGCGCGGGCGGAGGGCTTGGCCCAGACGTGCTCCGAGCTGAAGCAGAAGACGCTGGCGCCGCGGAAGGTCACTTTCTGCGAGGAGGCGGTGCAGCGGTGCGAATGATGACACCGGGACGGCAGCCCTCGGCGGGATGAAGCCGGACAGCTGGTGTTCCGTGAACTTCTGCGCTGGCTGTTATGCGGCTTTCAGGACTAGGTGTAGAATAGCGTCTGGTTCGAAGTGCATCGAACAATTTACCAGTGACTGCGAGCAGCGTAACTAGGTAGGTGCGAGCTCCAGCCGCAGCACAACACCAAAATCCGCATCATGTCGTTGGAAACGTCAGGTAAAAGATGTCCCGTGGCCTGTGTTTGGTCTCCCCTTGAGTTTTCTTGCTGACTATCAACAAAACACTGCCAACGCACCAATACACTCAACGACTAGTGAGCAGTTGCTGTGGCCACTTGACCAGACCCAATCTCTGGCGCGCGCCGTGCCCACCGGGGAGTGGTCACACCGGATCTGGCCGGCCGCTGCACCAGATGATCGACCCGCTAACCCGCCAGTCCCGCCGGTTTCACCCGCCTCCGCGCGGCTTTCTGGGACCGGGAGGACATCTCCGGCCTCGGCAGCCGTGCCGAATCCCTCCGCACCATGTCTGCTCACCGTTAGCGCGCCGACGAGCGGAGTGCGCGCTGCATGCCAATCCAGCACGGCCGGCGGCAGTGGCGCGGCGCCGGTCGTGCCTGGGACGGCCGCGCGGCCCGCCGCGGCCTGAACCGGGCCTGCGGGCGGGCACGCCGACTCGCCGCGCAAAAACGCAGCCGCAGGCAGGCCGCCGCCGCCTGGCGGCGTCAACGCCGCGACAGATGCGACGGTGGCCGGATGTGCGGCGGGGGGGGGGGGCGATCCGTCCGGATCGGACCACTTTGGTCCGGCATGTCCGGTCCGGTCCGGTCCGGTCCGGTCCGATCCGGTCCGGCTCCGTCCGGATCGGACCACTTCAGTCCGGCCTGTCTGGTCCGGTCCGGTCAGGTCCGGCTCCGTCCGGATCAGACCACTTCGGCCCGGCATGTCTGGTCCGGTCCGGTCCGGTCCGGCCCCGGCCGGCTCGCGGCCATGCAGCCGGGTCACCTCGGCCCTGCTCAGAGCGGCTTGCCGGGCCTGGGTCCGCGCTGGACGCCGTTTGTTCGCGTTGGGTCGGCGCGGACGGCGTCATGCGTCAGGGCCGCTCGACGGAGGCCTCGGTGGTGGTCCGGCAGGAGTTAGGTCGCAGTCGGTCGGCTCGGTCCGAAATGGGGCGATTCGTTCGATTCGGTGAACGGTCAGACAAGACACCAAGAGACACTCAACGATGTTACGGTCTGGGACGAAACCTCTGGGTCATGACATCAGCACGACACAGCAACAGCTATTCCAGCTTTCTTCATACAAATGGTTTCTTACATTTCACTTCAACCCGACCAGCAGTCTGTTTCTTTTAATGATTATTTCAGCCGGCCTTCCAAGTAAACGCGACGCTCCCTGTCTATACAGGTGTGAAGTGTTGTTTGGGGCACAACAAACAGCGGGCGCCCTTCAATGTGCATATCGTTTGTGTGTTGACACTTTCAATGCCAAACACTGCCAACTCACAACTCACGGGACCCAAGCTGCCACCGCAGATGGTCGTGGTGCATCGCACAAAACCCGTCGCGAAGTCACGCAGCTTTCGCAACGACCTCGAAGCCTTGCACAACGCACCTCCTCTCCGCGCATCCTCTCAAGCGAGCCAGCCATCACCCCTGCCCGCGGCCCCGCAGCCGGCGGCGCCGTCGCGCCGTCATGCCGCAGCAATCGGCTCCGGCGAGCGATAACACACGGCTCCAGGTTCGTTCACACGCGTCGACGCGCGCAAGGCCGCGGCCAATGTGGAGCGCCGCCGGCCGGGCGAGAGGCGGCAGGTGCGACGGCGTCCGCCGCCGGACAATGGTCTGGCCCCGATTGGACCGACCAGCTCCGGCCAGCCCCGCCCGTCCTGCTGCCAGAGTCCGGCGGCGTCTCCGCGCCGACCGCGCCGACACGCCGGCGGAGTCCGCGTCTCTTGTCGGGCGGGATTCACGCTTCACGCGGCCCGCAGCGGGCTTGGGGCTGTTGGGGATTTGCTCTGCGCAGATGGCTGGGAATATGAATATGCATGTATTTGCCTGCTTTCCTGAGCGCTGTCCTCCGTCAATCAGTGAAACGGGAACATATTGCAGGACACAGGTCATTAGGTTTCATTGTTGGCATATAGTGCTGATACTTTCAGCCTCCCAGAGAAGGCGCCTAGCATCCCTCCGCCTCAATTGAGCCATCTAAACCCAGCACCGTCCGCGGGCCCTCCACCCACCCGGCCCTCCCCGGTTGTCTTTTGTAACGCCCAATCGGCCGCGGGCCCCAGCGAGGGCACAGAGTTCACGCTGAGATTACAGTGGAGGGTTCTGCCCGGCGTGCCGCCGCCACCATATGGCGTCACCGCGCGGAGGCGACGCGGCGCAGCGCGTCGCGGCCGTTCACACAGCCACACAATTTTCTGCTCGCTGCCAACGATGACGGCCTGGCGAAACGCCGACGCCATCGTCGAATCGGCGCCCAGTGCCGAATTCAGACGGGAAATCTCCTTCGCAATGGAGTGAATTGCTGTTTACGTCGGCGACGGCTTAGGTTTTTGCTTCACGGCACATGATGTGCATACTTTCGCGGAAGCCGGGCTTCGGCCTCGTCTGACTGATAGACTATTACTGGGCATGCCTCGGCGCCACTGCCCATTGTCGCAGAGAATGTCAGCATACCCGAGCACGAGCGGTGGCGGGACGCACCAGGCGCATCCCCGAGGCGCGACAGAAAGCGAATATCTCTACACGAGTTCAAATATTTGACAATGGGTACTTCAGGCAGAGAGCCCATTACGGTTATTGGTGAGCATGCTAAGCTGTAAGGGCTCGCCTACGATCCCAGTGAGTACGTAGACATGCAATAAGTGGGCGCACAACGCCTGTAAACCAGACAGCAGCCGACCGGTTTTCACCTTTCCGCATTCTACTTTTAGTTAAAAGCGACTGGCTTGGATGGCCTGGCCTGTAGATATCACAAAGTGAACTAAACATATATACGAACCGCCACTACTGACCTGCCGGCGCAGCAACAAAGAGAGCGTGAGGGGAGAGCGCCACCTCTGATGATCTCGCTCATCACACCCCCGTCGCTGACGACATTTTTCGGCGATCACGAATTATAAGTTTCAAACTTGGCTTTCGACAAGACAATGTGTCTTTGGCTGAGATGAGGGCTGAGGCCCATCAGCACCGCCGGGCGCGTGTTTTCCGCCGCGTCGCAGCGCAGCCCGTCGGCGACAGGTGCCGGCTGCCGGCCGGAAGGCCTCGTTACCCGCACCTGCCCTGCAGCGGCGGGGTGTGACCAGGACGCATAAAGGGGCAGGACGGGGGCTGTCTCAAGAGGACCAGGGGCGTCACAAGCCAGCGCCGCCCGGGAAGGGCAGGAGGAGGGCGGGGAGGGGGGCAGGGCCGTTGGCCACGGCAGGACGCGGTCAGCCATGACGGCGCGCGCCGGACCGTGCCCAGATGGCGGTGGCGATAGGTCGCCCGCGGCGGTCTCCGGACCGGAGTCGGGCGGCGCGGCGCGTCCTATCGCGCCACCGGAGGCGCGCCGCAGTCGGACGCCGTGACCCGCGACCTGCCGGGTCACAACGGGACCCGCCAGAACCGTCCGTCCACCGTCGTTGGAGGCAGGAACAGACCCAGCGCAGTCAGCACGCCGGCTCTTTCCGGGTACTTTGGGCAATACATGTGCTCACATGTGTTCGCATGTGTTTTCCGATAAGCCCAGGCGATTCAAAAGTGTAATTCCATTGTCCATCGCTAGCAGCTGAAACCCAGTGATAACATCTTGGCAGGCAATCGGTGCAGTTTGCCTGTTATTGGTGCAGCTCCGCGACAAGACATTTCTTAATAATGGGAAGGAATCCAACTCATATCCTTGCATGGTGGCGCATAGCACGTCTTATTTCAGTGACGGACGGCAATTAAAGGGCAAGGACACATTTGGACTGTTTTGCTTAACGAGGAACTGATGAACAGCACACTAAACCTGCGGTGTGGTGTGGAGTTCGCACAGCAGGCCAGATGTCACTCAGGCCACGCCCTCGCTCCCGTCTGTCCGCCGCGGTCCTGCACTGGCGCCCGGACGTCACACGGCCAGGCCCGAGCCGGGCCCATCCCGTTCGACCGGTCGCAAGGCCGCCTCCCTCCGTCTGTAGCCTAGCGGTCGTGACCGGCCGCTCCGGCCGCTCTGGGTCACGCGCTGACCTGTTTGGCGGCCCGGCTGCAGGGCGGCAGGTCCGGCAGCGCGCGGTGCTCAGCTCGGCATGCAGACCTTGGCGCCGGACATGCGAGATCCAGCGCCATGAGACCAGACGAACGACGTGAGGGCCGCGGGTGAAGGGCCAGGGCGTGGTCTGAGGCATGTGTTGGCGTGCACCGGCGTGCGTTCGGGGGGTTACGGGGGCAGTCCTCCGAACACACACCAGGCCTGTCCGCCGCAGGTGACGTGTCGACGCGATGACAGTCTGCTGCATACTGGCGGAGCCCCGGGGCGCGCCTGGCGGACGCCACGGGGCCGACAGAACGTCCAAGTGTCCGTTGGATAATGTCCGCTTGATAATGATAATGTCCATCTCGGGGATGATGCTCACATCCCGGCGTCATGATGGAAGGGAGATAGCCGCCGCTGTGGCCCGTCCGACACCACTGAACAGCTGCCTTCGGCTACTCTGCCTCTGCCACTGCCACGTGCTTTGGAGGCCTCGGTGACTCGTGCTGTTCTGGAGACCTGCCCCGGTAGCGGACACCCCCTGACAGACTCCCATCTAACCGCCGTCCGACGCCGGCACTGTCATAGCTCCACAATGCCAAACAACAACTTGCATCTTATTTTGCATCACACTGTATGGGCGTAGGGACCCGAGCCCGACCGATTTTGCGGCAGATTTTTATTATTTCGCCACCGACTCATGCGAAGACGCTAAGCACACGTCGGAGCGTGGGCTCACTTCATCGGAGCGCGCACGTTTCTTACTACGGTCAGCGAAGCCGGTCACCAGTCGGCCGCTGACTCATTACGGCGACGAAGACAGTCGTGACATCGGACCGCGTCTGCCGCTCACGACGTCGCCGCCGCGACCTTGGCAGTTGCAGCATAGGATTGAACGGCGCGGGCCGTTCGCTCGCCCCCGCGCCCCGGCCGCCACAACAGGCGGCGGCGCGTGGTGCCGGTGCCGCCGCTGCCGCCGCCGCCGCCGCCGCCGCCGGGAGCCGCTCACGTCTCGCCGCCTGGCCAGGCGCCCGCGGCCGCCCGCCGCCTCTGGGGCAGCTCAAGGTTCGTGCCTGTTTGCCACGGTGGTCGGTGCG